GTCCCATGCAACATGCATTATATATTGCATTTCAAAAACAAGGGAAAGCAAATATATTAGTCAATTAAGTGGAGATAAGTAAACCCTGGATTAGAAATGGAAGTCAGGAATTTGAATCTATCAGTGTGATCCATAAATACAATACAGACATAGTCAGATAGATCAGCTAAACAAGGTTCATTAGAAACATTAAGCTGCTTTGTGGAATAGACAGGTGTCCATTGCTAATGCTGAGAAACTCCTGACAGTAGAAACTGGTGAGAGGGTGTATATACAGGCATTCCAGCCTGCAGCTGTCCCTTCTCTGCTGCCTTAGCAGAAAGATGCCCCCACACCTTCCCCAGACTGAAAGACCCCAGTCTAGGGAAGTTGCATGGGAAGTTTTGGTCAACTTCTCATGATCCTACACCCCAGGACCCGCCAGTATCATAAGGAATATCCTTTTCCCAAGCTCCAAACTTATGGAAGTTCTGACTTTATTTTAGGGACATAATATTTGAAGCAAACAGGGATATAATGCCTTTCCTAGGGTTCTAAAAACAAAATGTACAGATCTAGACAAAGGAATTCCTGTACACATTTCCATGCCTTAGTTTCCTCACTACTCAACTACAATTTAAACCCAAAGAAGATTCCTTTTAGTTGAAAATCATCTCTCATCTGCTCCACATCAGTCTGTCCATCTCCAAACTTCGCAGTTGGTGGCCTTCCACTCTCCCATCCCAGCTCCCTCTAATGACTGCAGAGAACCCAATAAAACTTTAGCCACCTCTGTGAGCCACCTCCCTGATCAGCCTCTTTGGGTGTTCTACTGCTTGGTTACACAGACCTGAAATTCAGGTTTTAAAAAACTGCCTAAAACAGATCTTTAATGGAAATTTCAACAATTAGTAATTTCTCTTTCCAGTAATAAAAACAAAGCACTAAACCAGATGTCTCAGGAGCACAGAGAGGAAGTACACATTATCCTGCCCATATGCCTGCAGAATTACAATGTCTTCTTCCACATGCTTCCCAGCATCATCTCCTGCTCTCATTTAAACTCAGCAATACCCCACTTCAAAGAACTTTGTCAAGAAAAGCATAAAGGTCTTTATCCTCTAGATCTAGACCAACCACATATCCTTGATACCTTTTTATAAACAAATCTGAGAGTGCTTGTTAGGTAGCACTGTATTATACTCTACCCTAGAGAAATTAACAACACATGAATAGTTACTAAAATAGCAGCTTTTTGAGCAAAAATTCTGATGTTTACCCAATACTAATGAAAAAATGTTGAGATTTTTAAGACCAAAAAGAATCCACCTTCCTTCACATCAGACCGAAGACTAGCTCCTAGGGAAGACTAATTCAACAACTTGTGATTGAACTAGATTAAATGTTTTAGAAAATCATCTAATGTCAACATGAAGACGACCAGCAATGGGAAAATTACTGCACATCTTGATCATCTGTTCTCATAATACTCACTATTAAAACACCTGCACCTTATTTTTAGCATAAACTTGAAACACTGGACCTTGTTGTCTGCTCAAGTGTGCCAGCTTGAAAAGCCTTGTAGGATCTAACAGCCTCTTCCTGTACTAAGGAAAACAAATGCTTCAGAATGGCTATGAACTTAATTGTATTAGCAATCTTAAGATAATTAAGAACCCCTGAAAAAAATCAAATGAATACACTGAAAGATATTTAGCTATCTGTAGTGTTAAACAAATATTAAGCTTTTTCTCAAACTAGTAGGGAAAATAGTCACAAATACAAGAACATTTCCTGAACAGTGATATCTGCAAGTGAGACTTGATATAAAGAAAGCAAGTCAGAGCAGGAAATAGGGCAGGCAAGCAAGAGATAACAAATAATATGTGGTCTGCAGTGAATAAACTGAATGCTTGAAATCAGTTATAAAACCTGTGATATATTTCTGATTAATGAGAAATCTTCATCTTTATCTCCCCTTACCTTGCAATCCTGGAAAATAACCTCACTCAAAACCTAGATGGCAATGTTTTATGGTAAAAAAAACTTTTAACTCAGTAAATTTCTTGCTGTGATTAACTCTGAAAGCTGTGATTGCCAAAAAAAAATTACAATTCATTGTTAAATTTTTCACTTACAGATGAAAAGCCACAGAATGCTTTCTGGTCCTACAAGGAGTCTTTTTGTATGCAGAAACAAAGCAGGCCAAAATCATTATTTGCCTGTTCAGTAAGATCCATTTCTTGAAAGCTTCCAAGTTGATCACAAGTATTGTTTCTGACAATGAACCTCTTAAAATATTAATCCCTATGGTTGCTCACTACAGAAAATACTAAGAAGCAAAAGGGAATGTTTTCTACATCTGTCAGTATGGATAAAATATTCAGGGTAGATTTGTACCTACAGATTAACCAAAAAAGATGCATCTACTGAGCTCACCTGAGAAAAATATCCATTTTGGTTAGTCTATAAGATGCAAATCTACCCTGCCTTCTACTTGACTTCAGACTAACACTGCTAACTGTCTCTCTAAAAAATTTCAAGCGTTTTTAAATCCCCTGAGAATTCAACTGTAGTTAAACCAGCCATTAGTTTGGCTCACATTAAAGAAATGAACATTGCTAAAAATCAGACTGGAAGATTGAACAGATTTTACATCATTCTACACTACTAGTACCAACCATAGTATTTTTGTTTAATTATCATTTTCCATATTGTTTTACTCAAGACGTTTTTCCTTTTTTCCCCCCTGTACAATGAGTTAATGTCTCAGAAGGAACTGGTTATACAACTAAATATTTGCACAGGCACATTTTATCCACTCTCCTATGCAAAGAAAAAGCTCAAAAGAGAAAATGACTTTTTTTAAACATCTACTGTAGTAAAAATGTTTAGATCATCAAAGCTGAAGTCTGAAAGGATAACTATTATTTCCAAGTTTGTGCATTTGACAACGCTTCCTGTATAGTAAATTTAACTTCTGCATGAATAATTGTTCTTCCTATTCCCAAACCACTGCTGTCATGACAATATCATGCCTTTATTCATTGTTCTGGAGAGACCTCATATGTATTCTCTTCCTCAGTTATTTCAACAACAGGGATAACAGAGAAGCTGCTTCTGTTTGAGTTTAGCTTGTGATTTCAAAGAGCAAGAAGTTATCTGAATTTATAAAATTTGGACAGAATTAAAATTCTCCAGCAGATCCAAGGATGCATCTCAAGTACTTATGCTGTAAAGGATTCTACTTTCTTCCAGCCAGATATTTCTGCATTTTCTTTATTCTCCTGCAGCTTTATGTATGACAAATACAGCTGAAGTCAACAGAGCATCATATAGTACCTGAATGCCGCATAAAAGATTAAAACCATGACAAATGCTTGGGCTCATACATGAACATTATAGGACTTGGGATATACTTACCACATGTAATGCAATCAACATAGATATATCCTTAAAACTATTTAAACAAACATGAAGTACAATTCTACAATGCTACTGTCTTTCACTGTACTGTATGGTCTTTTAAAAAAGAGGGTCCTACTACAAGTACTAGACATCAGCAATATTCTTTACAGGCTGCTTGCAGACATGGGAAAAAACAGCACTTTAAACTCGGCAGGCTGCTGCAGTGAATCCAGCACATGCCCAGAAGAGGCAGCACCTTAGCTGCACCTGGTTTTTCCCAACATCAGTAGAGACTCGTGCTTTAGTGGGGCTTTTCTGGTGTTTTTATCTGAAGCACCTGATCTACACAAAGTGCAGAGCCAGGTCAATCTATTACAGTGCTGCTTCTTGTAAAGTGTATTTTATTATTTATTTTTTTACATCTGTCAGCGCTCTTAATGTCTGAATACCCATTTAATGAAATTACTAACTAGAAGGCCGTATTGTTTTCAATCAAAATAACTGCCATGGCCAATTTGTATCCTTAAGAGGTTAATCAAAAATGGAGGACTGTCAAGCAAGGTGAAACAAGTTGGAGCAAAGAAATCAGGCACATTTCCCCATCTTCCCTAGGTATGTTGTAAGAGTGAGAAGGAAGACAGCTCTATGTGTCAACCACCAATCACCACCTGCTTTCCCATGGCCCTAGAGCTTAGGTGAGCACTGCCACTGCTCCCTCTCCCTACCTCCCTGAATTCAGCAGCAAGTGTCAGAAGAAGGGACAAACAGCAGTGGTGCTCGCCCTCACAGGCTTCGAAGCCATGCAAAAGGAGGCTCTCAAGCCAGACCCTGCACTGACAAGCTGGTAAGCTCAGAGCTCACGGCACATGCAAAGCTCTGGCAGGAATCACAACAACATGCTGGTGAAATCAGAAAGCTCTCGTATCCATGGCGTACAGCCAAAGGGGAAGGAGCCACACCTGATCTGCTACGCCCTGCCTGGAACTACCCCTGCATTCAAGGTTCATCAGAGATGGCAAGGGAGGTGGAAAAAAAAAGGGGGGGGGGGGCCTGGACAGGAAGAAAATACTCTGAACAGACACAGCCCATCATTAGCAAGTATAGCAAGTGGCTTCTTCACTACTCATCCACAAACATGGAAAAAAAGACGCACTGGTACTTGGTGGTAGGTGACAGTTTCTTAGACCTCAGTATGAGATAAGTAAGTTTTCATTTCAAGAAACATAGTGCATGGAACTGATCAGGGGAGTTAATTCTTATTTCCTGAGGCACAGTTTAAAAAGCTGGAGTTCTGAAGCAGGATAAGTGGGAAAGGAAAACAACAGAATGTCCTTCAACAGCAAATAAAGTTTGTACCAAGACTGAGCATCCACAGATTTCACTGAAAGCAAGATTAAAACAATATGTCTACCTCCTTGTAACAATGCACGTATTCCTCTAACTTTGTGCTGGCACATAAAAAGGTTGATAATCTATAACAGAAACAAGACTAGAGCCAAGACTTCGTTTTCAAACCAGGTCAAACAACATTCTAGCCAAAGACGCTCCTTCTAGTCCTTTTAAAATGAAGACAATACATTCATGGAAAGAACTGAGTTCTTTTCCCCACTTACCTCATCACTTTCATCTACTTCAATACCACCGTCTTTGTCATCATCCATCTGCTTATGGATTGTGCGGAGAGCTTCCAGACTGAATCGGTCCTCTTCAGTAAAGCATGGTGGGCTCAATGAATTGCAATGATCTGGAGGACAAAGAGCACACAAATCCTAGTTATTAGTGCCTTGAAATGTAAAATTTTTAACCGCAAAGCTCTTTTTTCCTCTTGGGGACAAAGTGGCTCCTTCAACTTTAAAATAAACTAAATATCACTTTGTAATTCAGTGAAGAAATTCTTGGTACCTTGATTGTAGGTAACCATGGCTATTGCTGCCAAGTTCTAGGAAGTTTTTTGGGTGACATTCCTTGCAGAGAAGTTGTGGAGGGGTGGGGAGGGGATTGGGAAGGGTTGGTTTGCTTCTTGATCTTTGCGCAGGACCCATAGGGAAGACAGAGAAGGAAGAGATACACTCCCACAGGAGAAAAAGGTGTTTGCTCCCCTCCTGTAATCCCCTTTGCCTAATCATGAGACCACACGATTTCCCTCCTTTCAGCCTCAAGTAAATATTGCAACAGCCAGTAAATTTCTCCCACTTCCTCAATCACTTTTCTGCCAGCCAGCCCACCAGAAAGGGACAATGAGGAGAAAGAAAAAAAGAGAGAAAAAAGAACAAGCAGGTCCTGGTATTGCACTATGGGTTCTTAAGTGTCCACAGTCCTACTGATGTGGAATATTCCACAGACGCTGCAAGGAAAGGAAACATAACATTGACAGGTCAAAGAGAACTCATGAATGTCTGCATGACATAGAAGACACTACTTTAACAACTGTTTCATAATAATTGACCAAACTGTTAGAAGGGTATGTAGTACTAGATCCATTAAGAACATCTTCAGACATTTTAATGAACCCATCATGAGAATGTCCAGGCACTTAAGTATATGGGAAGGAAAAGCAGACTCATGGAAAACTCCACTGGAAAGACAAAGATGGTGAAGAACACAGTCATAGCACAACAGGATACGTTGGGTTGAAGGTTACTGCTTACAGAGTAAATGTGTACCTTGAACAATATTAAGGATAAGTAGTAGGCCAAATGGGTCAACATATAAACGCACTTTTGGAACACAGTGTTTATTAAAACGACAAACTTTTTATGTACTTACCAAAAAACCATTAGAGATAACTCTGCCAATGTTAAGGAAAATACATCAACATAGCCAGAGTTTACAAGAGCCCCATAAAGAAAAGAATTATCTAGGCTTGGTACATCCATGCAGAAATGATATATTATGAATTTATTTTTCCAATCCCAATGATAACACTGTTAGAAAGACAAGAAACTCTCAACAGAAGTTGCTGAAAAAAGCCTGGTTGACCCTGCAGCTACAAAACAAAAGGAAAAGAAGATATTAAAAGGGATCCAAAAAGTTATGTTATCAGCATTACAGCTAAGTAAGCATCAGTATCGCCTTTCTTTGTAGATTAAGCATCCAAACTGAGAAATACCCCATTAAACCTACACCAAGTAATTATGCACCACTATTCTGAAGTTCTAGATATAAAATGTCTATCAGTTATATACTGACCTCACAGTAGTAAATGAAGAGGATCTCTTTATTCTCACCAAAATACATTAACTAGTCCTTGACTGCAAGCACACTATTTAACAAATTTTAGAGCTATGAGAAATTATTAACTGCCTGACCAGGCTAGATATTCAGAGCTTTCATTTTTGAAGCATAACTGCAGCATATGCTTAGGAAGTCAAATGGTGGCCACAACAGCCTGCTCCTTTATTGATTTTTATTTGCCTGCCTTTGTCTCACTCAAGAATAGCTTTAGCTTATACAACAGTAGTTGGCTTTTAAGCCTTCACCTTGCAATAAAAGAAAACTAACACAAGAATATTTAAGAACTAAAAAGTACAATGCAAAGGGCTTGAAAATAGGGCTTACCTTCTGAGATGTTATAAACCACCCTGGAAAATTCTGTTACACATTCTAACAGAATACATCCTATACTTCACTTCCTAATTTCCTAAGTTCCTTTCTGTAGCGGAATCAGCAATCACGGCATGTTAGTTAGCAAATCAGAGAGGTCCGCTTTTTCTACAAATACACCGTGGTTTCTCTTACCTCTCAAGAGACGCACAGTACAAAAAAAAGCTGGTTTTGCTCTTCATTACATCTAAGATCTAACTCTCGGTCTAAATACAATATAAAAATATCCAAAACAGATGAAAAACTAAAACAAGTTCAGAAGTGTACAGAGGAACCAATTTTTATTTATTTTTGTGCACCAAAATGAACAAGTCTGCTCCCATAGTTCAGGGCTGTTCAGTTTCAAAGAGGCTGGGGCTGGACCCCCAATGGATGCATATATGGGTGGGCACTTCCCCTGCCCCTATCCTACTGCAGCACATACAGGCTGGTGTTCCCCTGCCCCTGTGTACCATGGGCACTCCATCTCATTTTCTGCTCCCTGTGGGCTCCTCTATGATACCATGCAGCACAGATGCTCCAGGCTGCCAGGTCCTGCATACCCTGGGTGAGGGCCTGCAGCAGAAGTTGGGAACGGGAAAGGGTGCCGTGTAACCCTGGCCGGAGCAACAGGGGCAGCAACAGCTGGGTGGGAGCCTAGGGGCTGCCTGTTAATGCCTCAGACCACCAGGTGAATAGCCCTGCCATAGGTAATAGGAATCCACTTCCACATCGCTTTTGCATTTTGTTCAGTACATTAAAAAAAAAAAAAAAAGCTTTCTTCAAAGGACAAAGGGTATTTTACTCCCATGTTGATTAGCTTTGTAACCTATGAGAATGCAAAACAAATGCAGTTTCTCCATTTTATTGGCCTAAAAAGTCTATTTTTAAAAAGCTACTGCTTTTATTAAGAGAAAAAACAGACAGACCACTTGTGCTTCAGATGTCCTGAACTCATTAAGGGAACATTTGATACCTCCCTTAAAGAACAGATCAAGTTCCTCACTGCTTTTAGGAGTGAGGAATATGGGATAGGACCATGTCTAGACTGAAATAAAAACAAGCAAAATCCAGACTGATCTCTAGCCTTGTTTTTAATGGTAATATTAGAAGTAACATTCCCTAACCAACAGTATATCTTAGTCTAGAGTTTAGAGACAATTCTCTTACCAAAAGACTATTCTTGGCAAGAATAAAAGGATATTCTAGAAAAAAGAATATTTATGACAAAAATTCAGAAATTGGTTCAGACCTTATAAATCTGATCATCTGGAAGAATTAATATCAATATGAGTACATTTTTAGACCATATACAGGTAAGCACCACCTTAGTCCATGTTTGTTACACAGAAGTTTAACCACAAATTACTAGAGGAACTTTTTATTACCAGGAACCTATCAAACTTCTATTTTCTTCCTCATACCCAAAAATGTGGAAGAAGTCCATAGAAAGATATTGGGGGCTATAATTATGACCCTGAAAAACTGCGCCGATGTTAACCATTTCACTAATAGGCCAACAGTCAGAAGTGGAACCTTCCACTATACTTAAATTATACTTAAATGATAAAACTGTATTTGGACTTGTACTAATTTCTCTGGCCTGTACTGGAGTCAAGTCATGTTTCTGAGGTTAACAGCTTTAATTCTTCACTTTCTTCAGGTTTAAAACTAAGGGGACTGAATCAAGTATTTCAAGCAGTAAAATGTAGCCAACTTTGAAGCCGACTTATTATAAATGCAAACCAGTAAAATTGTATGCATGTGTGACACAAACTGCAGCATATATTCAAGCTTACTAATGCTTGAAACATCATGGAGCAGTAGCATTTGCTTGTATCAGTCAGAAGTAGGGAAATTTAAACACAAACATATGGCTTTAATCGTAAGGAAATTTGTCATTGGGTTAAATTTTTAAACTACAGAATTATAGCTCAACATACTCAAAGGTTTTTTAAATGATCCTTCTACATAATTCATGCAACCAAGTGACTATCCCCCCTTACTAAAGCCTCTAAGACACAAGACTGCTTGTCCAGCCAGGGGACTGCTAACACCCAGTCACAAAATAAGAGATCTGATAATAAAATTGGGATAGGGATATTGAATCAAATATTTGAATTTGTTCCCAAAAACAGCAGCCAGCCAAACTTATTGGACATTCAAATTATTTCAATATTTACTGCAATTTATACAAATTTTATTTTTCCAAGAATTAACCATGAAGACAGAAGCTGCTTTTCATTAGAAATTCTCTGCCTCTGTGCTCCTTTTTCTTCCTAAAGGCAAATTCTGAAGCTACAATGCTGCTGCAAATTACAAATTAAACAGAATGACTATGCCTGCTGACTATTAGTTTCAAGTATTTGTAATAACTGTCATTGTATGTACCTCCATGGTCCCACTCACCACAGCACCCAAGTACCTCAATGTTTTTAGAATTGTGGGGTTGGAAGTGACCTCAAGGATCATCTAAGCCAGTGGTCCTCAACCTTCTCAGATTCCAGACATCAGACACCCCTCCGTAACTTTGGTGAATCAAGCAGCATCCCATTTTGAAAACTAAATTTTGTTTCCTCAGCACACAGGACAGGGTTAGAAGGGAGAATATAGTCAGGTAAGCATGTGCTTACCTCTTTGCACAGCATAGGGACTGAGCAATGAAGGGCGTGGGTGAGGGAGGAAAGAGCAGCTGGGCTGGAGTAGACTGTGCAACCTTACTCCCTGAAGCGCTCTTCAAAAGATCATGAATCACCCCATTAAAAAATCCCTTATCTCATCTAACCCACTGCACTGCAAAGATAAGGTACCTTGTATTTCTTTCCTGCTCCCCACCCCTGCAGGCCAATGAGAGGCAAACTACCAGTACAAGTGAACACTGAACATCTATAGATACAGGCAGTCTTCGACTTGCAACATTTTGAGCTACAACATTTTGCACTTACAACGTTTAAAATTTGACACCCTGTTTCAACTTCATGACATCAGTTTCAACTTACAACACTTGATTCAATGCGACGCCATGCCAGCAAACAAGTTCGCTGCATCACTTATCTCCCTGGAGAACATCTGTCCAAACTTCCTTGGACACTTACTGTAAGAAAGCAGACAAGACTCCAGAAAAACCTGCAGCCAAGACTCCTGAGAAGACTCCAGCCAAGAACCCTTCAAAAAGCCCAACCAAGAGCCTTTCAAAAAGTCCAGCAAAGTCACCTCAAGGAAGTCCTTCTAAATCAATATGATTGCTATTTCCAATATAAATACATTAATGTAGCTATATTACTCATCTATAATTGATCAAGTACAACATTCTGGGGTATTTTTGGTGAAAACAGGGTATTGGGCCTTCATTCAGGAACCAACCCCCCATTGTTTCTTATAAGAAAATTGGCTCCAAGTTGCAACTTTTTGACTTAAGACGTCGTTTTCAGGAACCAATTGTATCGTAAGTCTGAGGACTGCCTGTACTTTAGTGATAGGATTGTTCAGCTAGGCAGGAAACATTCACCACACCAATACAAGACAGGGAAGTGCTTTTATCTTAACCTTACAGATGGGAACTAGAGCACAGACAGGCTGTGACTTGACCAAAGCCACAACTGAAGTCTAAAACAAAGCAGGGGCTTGCACCCATGTCCGATAAGTCCCAGTCTAGCACTTTAACCACTGAAAAGTCTTTCTTCAGTGATTCAAAAAACACTTTTTCAGATTATGCACCCATACCACCTGATCTTCATGGGTTTCTATTTTGAGTACCAACACAGACCCTATATTACTGAGGCTCCTAAAACATTTTTAATCCAGGTGAAAAACATGCCTTTGATATTTGGCTTTTGTTTTACCAGATTAGGGTAAACTTCAGCTTTCTCTGGGTTTCTGCAGAAATACAAAAACCTGCTCCAGACTGAATCAGCTTCTGGCAGAGAAGACTGAGTGGAGTCTCCCTTAATGGAACAGTTTTTGTTTAAAGCCTTCAAAAAACTCCAATGAAAAGCAAGCAGGCTTCAGGAACCACAGTCCACTGGAAATGCACTGACTGCTGAGGTTTTCTATAGAGGAGCAATTCTACAGAAAGCTGGGCTTGTAGTAATTGTTTGTTCAGTTTTAATGCTTCCCCCCAAGCAACAGGACAACTTTAAAGGGTGCAGTAAGACATTGCCAGTCAGCCATTCCAACCCCTCGCCCTTTTGCTGAGGCTTAAGGCCTCTGGTTTAAGCAAGAGTCTTTATCCATCAGACACTTACAATCCTAACGTAAGGGTAAAGTATCTTGGGACCTTCTTTCCCCACAGATATTTAAGAGGGGCTTCAGCAGAGGACTAATTTCCTCATGCTTCATCTGGATCTTAGAGAACACACTACTTGAATATTTGAAGAGAATTTCATAAGTAAAGGCATCCAGGTCTAGTCCAGGGCAAAACGGAAAACATGCATCCATGCCTCTCTATCCGGCATCTTGTTTTGGCAGCCTGCTTGGAAGTGTGCAGGTAGAATTGATGGGGTATTAGAGATGACCCTATGCAAGCTTCTTAATTAGCTTGATCAGGAACAGCAGGTGAACTGTACTGAGACTGGCTGTGTTCAATTATGGTTTGAGTATTGGATGATTTATGTCTCTTTTTCCCTCTCTACAATGGGAGGAAAAGAACAAATGTGTGATTTTGTTGACTCACTAGCAAGAAGGGCCCAGGTTAGAGCATGAAATGGCAGCTTTGTTTTCCAGCAGCAATTCCAAGCACTTCCTTTTTTTTTTTTTTTTTACAACTGGGCTGAATCAGATAGCAAAAAAATTATGTTTTTCAGTTTTATGGTTCCTTGTTTTCCCAAGAGACCTTCTGAGATACAGATGATTTTCTCAGAAAAGGAAGATGAGCATTCCTCACAGTGGAAATTGCTAACTGCTAATGGAATAGCAGGATTTCTTTCCTCCTTTCATAGCCAAGGTATAAGCCCACAACAATTCCTCATTCCTAAACAAATCTTCCTGCTCCTGACGTTCTATTTTCCTTCTACTTCAGTTCTGTACATTACACTGAA